TTGACTTATTTTCAATTCCATTAATGTTTCCTCTCTTTCTCAGAGCTATTTTTTGTACTTGTACCTGTTTCATATATTATCTTCCTCCAAATTTTTCTTCTTATATTTTCTTCTTATAGTATACATATAGAACAAATTTTTCACAGATTTGTATGTTTTTATGTACTTATTTGAGAAATTGCAGATTCCATGCACCCTAGGACTATCCACATAACCTATGCCTAAACCTTTAAAATTTGTAGCCGTTCTTATTCTGCCTCTTCCTAGGGGAGATAGGTTTGCAATTTCTACCAATTGTTTACGTTTATTTCATGAATTAGGTAACCGTATGACAAGTTTAAGAAAGATTCTTCTTCCGCCATAATTGACAATTTAACAAAACAAACCAAGCATAAGTACAATAGAAAAAATAAAGGTGCTTTTTAGACACTACCTACATATTCGAGTTTTTCTTTAAATTAGTAAAGAAAGTTAACAAAAGTAATTTTAAGTTCTAGAGCGTAAATAGTGTAAATGCCACTGTTTTGGCATTATTTGAGGGTGTAGACATATGTTATTGGATGTGATGAAGGGAGGACTTATTGTTTTTTTTTTATATTTTGCTATTCCATCAAACCAACTTTGATTTTTCGACCAATAGAGATCATTTATTTGGCATTTTTTTAGTTAGAGTTGAAAAATCATTGGAATGATACCTTTTTTATCTTTAACATGCCTTAAACAAAGACAATTTCACATACCTATTATTGATCCGATCGCTTGATTTAGATATCGTCAAAAAATAAAATTTGAAGACACTGATTTACAATTTTCACTCTTTGTTATAGCATTTTCTGTATTATTGAAGCAGGCTTGAAAATGAACTCGTAGAAAAATGAGCAAATATCATCCCAACGAATTTTTAATAACTCGAAATAAAAAATGTCAAATAAAATACTCCTATTGTGATCGAGAAACCAAAACTAGTTTGATACAAAATGAATTTACCCATTAGTCTTTGATATTAACCCCTATTAAATGTCAAAGTGGTCCAAAATGAACCATTTTAATGCTGTATGGAGTTCGAGTTAAAGCTTTTGCTATAAAATTCACAATTATTTATTGAGTTAAATTTAAAGACAATTTAATTAATCACTAAATAGTATAAAACAAAGTCGCTTTCCCGCTGTCTGTCCCTATGTATGCTTAAATCATTAAAACTACGCAACGGATTTTGATGCAGATAGAGTGACTCAAAAGGAAGGTTTATATATGCATAATACATGCATAATATAGTAGGGAAACACTGATAATTTTAGAGGTTTCTAATGTGATGTCGTAATTAAACACATTTTTTGCGCTTACATTGCAAACGCTGGCTGAACCCTACGAGATAGATTAAAACAATGTACTACAATATTGTATATCTTAAAAGGGTCTACAAAAAAGTCCGCGATGGTATATGTCAATCTCTTAGCGATAACCCACAATAACCATTTTTATCCTTTACTTTTTATGAGAAATAATGACTTATTTACGAAGCGATTGTAAGCAATACAGCATTAATTCTTATCCAATTAAGTACCTTAAATACATTGTGTATTTAATATAGATCAGTATGGCCCTTTACCGCATGTAATTTAAATGAATATTTTCAAAGATATTACAAATTTAAAATGCAGGGACGTAGCGGTTGCGGCGGTACCGGCCGGGAGGCCGGTTTCTATTGTCTAATGATAAAAAAACTGTGAATGTTGTATATAAAGACATTCTGTAGTATATTTAGTATGTTCAGGGGGTATCTTTTGAAGATTTCCCCTTCTCGATAATAATCTAAACAAAACAAAAATATATTTAGTATCAGCATTGCACCTGTGTGAAGCTGGGGCGGGTCGCTAGTAAATTATATTTTCTAAAGCTGATTCTAGATTGGTTTCTGTTCTGCTTCAATGTTGCAAGGAAGATTAAGTACCAAGTCCATTTATACGTTTACCTTTCATTTATCAAACCAATGCAGTTATTCCTATAAAAGAAATATCGATTGCAAACCGAAAGATACCTGCCTACATAAATTCTCATTTTACGCGTTGTAAATGTTATCAAAACAATATTAAATCTTGCAGCTTCCGCTAGTTTACTGTTAATTACTCTCGTGGGCAAAAAAGTCCTGTTTGAATTGCACCGTTCTCATGGTGCAGACGCGACATGAATAAATTCCCGGTTTCGTTTCTCGTTCTCTATAAGCCATTATCGTGGGATATAATACGTTCCGATGCGATGTAGCCGGCAGATAGAAAGAAAACAAGTCTTCGACAACAAAAACGAAAGAAAAGAAGAAAAATAAAATTTCCTGTGGCAGCTATCCGCCGTTCTCTCAACGAGTCTCTTTCTCTTCTCCGGAGACTGTAATTTACGTTTCCGATCGGTAATAACTTTGCTCCGGCCTTTTACTGTATATTACGTCACCATAAATACCGTGCACACAGAAGTAAACCGATTCCGATATCGCTGACTGGTTGGTTAGACGAGCGTTCTTTCTCTCTCTCTCTCTCTCCCTCTCTATTTCTTTCTCTCTGTCAAAAGCAACGGGAATGGGAATGGGAATAGGAATGGGTTATGTGTGTACCTACCCCCATAGAATTGTATTATAACGCTTGCTCGCTTGATACGACGGCGTCTTTTCTTCATCCGTTCGTTTTGCTACGACAAACATTCTTCCAACTTTGTCGAATAAGCGTTGGGAATGAATGCCCCGAATCGTAAAACTTGTAATGAAATGCACCACGAAAAATAAACCAGCGTTTGTTTCGAACAACGGACAACTGCAGACATTCAATCTCAATTTGTAACTGTAAACACCACAATTGTTTGACAATCTTTGTAAATGGAGTGTGTTTAAATCGAAATCTCCGTAAATCCGTTTAAAAAATTCAATGATAATTGGAACGATCGAAAAAGCAATTCGACGTGTATCAAATATAAGAAATGGTACAAACAAATATCTTTCGTTTTGGGGTAATACTGTAAAGTTTAATTTACAATATTTGACGTTTCAGTCAAATTGCTTATAAAGGTTATTCTTACATATGGTACAGAACTGTCAATCACGTGTTGTCAGTTGTAGATTTCCGTGTAAGTGGGTAGATACTACTTGTTTCTCTTAATTTACCAAACTAAAATCTGCGATATATTTTCCAAAAATAGAATTACATGCAACACTATTGATCTCGTATTACGTCTGAATATATTTATAATCTGAATGTGTATTGTCCATCACAAGGTTATCTACAAAACAAATTCTACCTATATAAGGTACGAAAACCTACGGATATTTCTTATTAGATTGTCCAATGCCTACTCAGTACCTATTATTGGAAATAAGACGATAGCCATTATATTTAAGCACGTCAATTTTTCCGTTTAAGAACTTCACGCAATGTATAATCACTATTGCAGAATAAAGCATTAATAGCAAAATTAAAATTTCCCAGTTGTATATTAAGTGACCCCAAAATTAATGTAAAAAAGTTAATCGAAATTTTTGCTTCATTCAGCTTTAATATAAGAAACTATTATTAAACAGTATAAGGAAAGGAGGCGTTTGAGCAAGACGGTGAAGCAATAGGTAGATTTTGACCTGGCGTCAACCGAAACGGGAACTCGTACTACTCGTACTTTGTATGTATCTGAAAACATAAAAGAAATCAAGTAACATGAAATAAGTTTACAATTAGTATTAGATTAACTTCTTATAGGGTACAAAGGTGTCCCATCTGGGAACCTGAGCAATTTTTTTAACGCGGAAAGACGGTTAAGGATGTTTGGTAGGTATATCAAAATGCTACGAGACTAATAAAAATTTAGAATAACGTTCCTTATTCAATTCTAAAACTCCTGTAAAAATTACAAATCGATTCACTAAACCGTTAAAAAGTTATTGAAATTTTAAAAAATTGTAATTTTACACGTCATTTTATGGAGATTCGTTAACCGAACAGATTAAATTTATTTTTATTAACAGAAAAAAA